AGCGGCAGCAGGAGGGGCGCCTGGTGGTATACGCCGCCGTCGTAGGGAGAGACATTGTGGGTGTAGAGGAAGACGCCCTCTTGCACTGGTGGGTGTCAGTAATGCTAGACACAGACCATGCCAGGTACATACGTCTCTTGAAGCTCGTCACGGGTGTTGACACCTCGACACGTCCGGCAAGGAGGTCTGGCAGGGCGGGAAAGACAGTGAAGAGGAGCAGGCGCACGGCAGCGGCGGCTGCAAAGAGCAGTATCTTGTGCTGCGTGTCAATGGCCATGGTGACTATGCGCTATGCACTCATTGGCTCCATGGCGGTTCTCGACACCTCGGCGCTGGAGTTCTGGCAAGATGCATGTCGGTGGACCCTGGTCGCGCTAACGCCGGATCCATGTCCGCTAGTTGGCCGCATCTCTAACTTTTTTGCGCCCACCAAAAGTTCGACCGTCTGCACCGACAGAATCGCGATTTGATCCTCTCTCTACAATGGCTGGTCGCTCAAAAAAGAAGGGTACGCATCGCCGTCAATGATCGAGGGAGTTTCCTTGCTAATCCGATTACAGGCACCTCCGGTGCGGCCAAGAACTACATCACCCGCACGCGCGCCGTGAAGAAGCTTCAGATCTCGCTCCCCGACTTCAGACGACTATGCATCTTCAAGGGAATCTACCCCCGTGAGCCGCGCAACAAGAAGAAGGTCTCGAGGGGCTCGACCGCCGGCACCACCTTCTACTACACCAAGGATATCCAGTACCTGCTCCACGAGCCGCTGCTGGCCAAGTTCCGCGAGCACAAGGCTGTCGCAAAGAAGATCGGTCGCGCTCTCGGTCGCGGCGAGTCTGGCGATGCATCGCGCCTCGAGAAGAACCTCATGCCCAAGGTCAAGCTCGACCACATCATCAAGGAGCGCTACCCTACCTTCGTCGACGCCCTGCGCGACCTCGACGATGCCCTCTCTATGCTGTTCCTCTTCGCCAACCTCCCCTCCAGCGACCACGTCCCCGCTAAGACCATCGCCCTTTGCCAGCGACTGACCCGCGAGTTCGAGCACTACGTAATCACCTCCCACGCCCTCCGCAAGTCCTTCCTCTCCATCAAGGGTATCTACTACCAGGCGACGATCCAGGGTCAAGACATCCTTTGGCTAGTACCGTACAGGTTCGTCCAGCGAACAGGCGGCGATATCGATTTCAGGATCATGGGCACTTTCGTCGAGTTCTACACGACCCTCCTCGGCTTCGTCAACTACCGCCTCTACACTTCGGTCGGCCTGGTATACCCCCCCAAGTTCAACGCAAAGAGCGACGAGCAGGGAGGTGAGCTTGCTGCATTCCAGCTTGAGGGCAAGGCCACCGCTACGAACGACGCAAACGGCCACGATGAGAATGGTGCGGTCAACCCCGAGGTACAGGCGATTGCGGACAGGCTTGCAGCTATGCCCGATGCTGAAGAAGAGGAGAGCACGACCGCCGTAGCCAAGGTCGCCACCGAAGACGATGAAGAGGAGGCCAACGACGAGATTGACAAGTTCGAGCCGACTGCGCCCGACGCCGACATCCTGCCCCAGCCCCAAGCAAGCAGCGCCGAAATCGCATCCTTGTTCGCGCCCTTCACCTTCTATCTGGCACGAGAGACACCCAGAGCATCGCTCGAGTTCATACTAAAGGCATTCGGCTGCAAGAGAGTGGGTTGGGACGGAACGCTAGGCGATGGCGCTTTCACAACCAACGAGTCGGACCCGAACATCACACATCAGATCGTCGATCGACCTGCGCTTTCTAACGGTGCTCCTGCACAGGAGGACGGTGCTGCTGCCCCCAAGGCCCAATGGCCATACTCGATGATGCCTGGACGCACCTATGTCCAGCCACAGTGGGTTTGGGACAGCATAAACCAGGGCAAGCTGTTGCGACCAGACCACTACGCCCCTGGCGCAGATCTGCCGCCCCATCTCAGCCCTTGGGTCAAGCCAAAGAAGGGCGAATACGATCCCAACCTGCCCCTCGCTGCACAACAACCAGAGGGCGAGGCTGAGGCATTTGAGGATGATGACGAGGAGGCCACTTTCGACGTTGACGGAGACGAAGACATGGACGCCATCGTTGACCGTGAAGGCTCAGTGGAAGTTGGCGAGGGCATGGATGTCGCTGACGACTCTGAAGACGACAGCGATGACGACGAATCGGATGAAGCTGGCGCGGGTGGTGAGGAGTTCGACGGCTTTGACTCCGATGCCGAGTCAGACATCTCAGAAGGAGAGGCTGCCCGTCTTCAGCACCAGCGTGAACTGGAAGCTGAGGCTACTGGCAAGAAGCTCGAGGTCAAGAAGCCGACCAAGAAAGAGGAGAACGCGGTCATCCGCAAGAAGGCAGAGAAGAAGAAGCGCGCTGAAGAGGAGGAGCGCGAGAGGCAAAAGATGATGTTGTCGAACAAGAAGCGCAAGCTGCTCAAGCGTATCGAATACGGCGAAAACAAGCGCGAAAACGAGTCTGAGAACCTGCGCAGAAAGCGTGCGAAGGTTGAGAAGGCCAAGGCTGCTGCTGAGGCCCTGTAGGTTCGAGTATTTGTATATGATGCATCAAAAGCTTGGGCCGGCGTTCTTGGGCAGGAGTTTGGCGCGCTTAACGAACCTCTATATGCTGCATGTAGTAAATCGATACCTTTTCTGGCTCTACATCATGGCCGTAGCTGTTGAACATCCATCCCAAACGAAGTAAATGTGATCGCTGGCTGAGACGCACGGACTGGGGCTGTCAGATGCGTGGCGCAGCCATCTTTGACCCAAAGAACATGATAAACACTCGATGACTCAACCAGAGGCTATATGAACCATGGCTGCACCCATATTTCACTTGGTCTCTAACGTTCAACTGCAAGCCCATACGATCAATACATGCCCAATCCAACACCATGTAGCCACGCCCACTAGTCCGCGAATATTGACAATGGTAGACCAGGGCCGCGATCCAAACTCAACCATAGTTGACATCGCAACAACGACAATGCTCAACCTGGACAACGTGACATGAATGATTTCTCCTTTCCTGCGCGTCAGGTTAACTTTCATCACCGTATGTCGACACCACAAGAACACCCTCTTTCGGCTCTTCCCACAAAGACGTCGCAAGAGCACGCAACACGCCGCAGATCAACTCGAACACAGAGAACTAAGACGAAATGATGAATCCATAACAAGACCCGCCCTCGTTCTCGATCTGCTCCACGGAAAAAACCCAGATCCACCATCGTCGCCGCTACCTAAAAGCGCAAAGTGCCGAGCCGCTGCCGAATAGCACCACCTTCCGGAAAAATTGTGCATGTCCAAATTTGCTCACTTTAGAACTTTCGGTGGCATAGAAGTTTAAGAAGGTATAGAGACTCTTTCAAGCGGTATGGAAGCGAGGCTGACACAGAAAGACCAACTGGGGTCACTGCTTTCACCTGGGGCAACAGGCTGCGCTGTCACGTGATCGCGCGTTCACTCGGGCAAGAAGCTTGGTTGCTATCGTGGTATCGAGACAATAGGCTCGGTTGTGGTCACCCAGCTGCTGCTTGGAGTTGGTATCGATCGTGATCTTGGGGCTTTATCTGCCCCTACTACCCATACGCTTTATTTCCTGTACTCGACGCAGCGATCTGAAGTCAGCAATACTACTCGTCGGACTTCACGTTAAACCTCCGGAAACCAACGTATCCGGCAAAAGGCCACAAAACCTCACATCCTACAACCAGCCATGGCAACGTCACCACCAACGCCCCTCTTCCCTTCCCTCCCCCCAGAGCTCCGCAACGAAATATACGCCTACCTCTCCCAACCAACCTCCACTTCCATCCCAACAAACAGCCACCTCCTCCTCGGCCTCAAAACCTTCACCTGCAAACACACAACCACAACCCTCATCCCCATCCACCACAGCACCCCCAGCCTCCTCTCCCTGGACCCCACCCTCATCCCCGAAAGCCGCGAATACGCCTCCTACCTCCTCTCCAACAGCCTAACCCTCCTCTTCTCCATCCACTTCCGCGGCCGCATAAACACCTTCGTGCCCTCCGACTGGGACAAGAAAATCCAAGCCCATTTACGCAAATTGGCTAAATCCTTTCCGTGGTTGGGGAAAGTGGCGAGGTATGAAGTGCAGATACTGTGGGAGCCGGTTGATGGGGCGTTGAAGAGTAAAGGGGGGAAGAGGTGTGCGGGGGATGTTTGTGCGGGGTTGGTGAGGGGGGTTACGGGGTTGATGGACGGGGAGGTGGGGAGGAAGAAGGGGTGGTTGGGGGTGGGTGTGAATCTTGATCATGGGTTTGCGGTTGGGAATGCTTTTTCGAACACGAAATTCGGACTGAATAAGTTTCTTGGTGAGGAGTTGGGGTTTAGGACCGTGGTGAGGGAGGTTAGGAAGACGGGAATTCCGCACCACAGGGGGCCTGAGCCTCTTCATCAAGCTTATCGTGCGGTGGAAAAAGTGGGCACATTGGAGGAGAAGAGGTTGATTTTGTTGGGCGAGGGGAGCGTGGGGTGGTCTGACTTAACGAAGGGGCCGCTGGTTGTGAGGAGGACTACGGGCGTGGGGCTGAAGGGGTCTACGACGGAGTTGGGTAAAGACGAGATGGACTTCCCCATGTGTCATCTCATGGCGGAATTTGTTAAGATGTAGTGAAGACTACGATGCAACATCAAGATTTCTACGAATGGCTATTGCTCATCCCACCAGCTACCAATAAGTTTGTTCTGGCTGGCGCAGTAACGATGGAAGTCGGTTGCCACATACATAACTACAGACTTTCCAATTTACACTATCTTGCCATCCAACACCGCGTTCCCAGCTCCGAGTACAATTTCTTCCTATGCTCCCCTACTCCGACACCTTCATCTACCTGGCCATCTAACCCACCTCTCTTCTTCCCCTCTCCTCCAACTCCCCTCTCCTCCAACTCCCCTCTCCTCCAACTCCCCTCTCCTCCAACTCCCCATCCACCACTATCCCATCCGCCATATCCTCTCTTTACGCCCAAGCTCCCACCAAACTCATCAAAAAGGCCCCAAGGAACACAAGCAAACAAGCATACACCCTGCGCTTGCCCTTGAGCACCTTCCAACTCTCATCACTCAAGAAGTCCTCCGACATGAGTTCCACAAGCGAGGCGAAGACGAGGAAACCAGCCGAGATAGCGTTCATGATACCGACGACGAGAAGACCGACTTCAGAGTCGGGCGAGTACAAAGTGTGCGTTGCTATGCCAATTGCCATGCCGCCGGGTGTGCTGGGTATTGTGTTAGCGGGACGGAATAGATGTGGATGGAGGGAGGACTTACGTGCAACCATAAGCGAGAGCCATAAGCCAAGGCTGTGCAGCGCGTGGCTTCCATTTGATGTCGGCAATACGTACACCGAGTGCTAGGCCTTCGAAGGTTTCTATTAAGGTCAGTATACAGTCACTTTCAGTTGAGAAGGATGACCTACGATGAAATACGATAGCGATCAGTAGCACGGTGAAATCGTTACCAACTGAAACAGCGAGCGACATTCCAATAAAGATGCTGTGGAACAGGATACCCATTTCTAGTAGAAACACCTGCATTATGGCTTTCTTGTGGATTTGCTCAGGCGTAAGGACGTGATCGTGCTCCCCGGTTTCTTGGTCCTCCTCGATAGCATACTCGTCGTTTGCTTCTTTGCTACGGGCGCCCGGGGTTTCCGCTTCAGATCCGCCCACAGATTCAATGGCATCGAGTCGCTGGCCATCCTCACGGTACCGGGAGAGCGTTCTACTAATGCTCCCGACTCTTCCACGCAAGACGCCTAGATCGCGGACTCGCATGCTGGTATCCGAGTAGGTTCTCTGCATTGCTGCTTGCGGTGGAGCAGGCGCTTCGTTCTCAGTCTTCGGTTCTTCCTTGCGGCGAGACACAGCCTCCGCACCCTCGTTACCGCCGCAGACATGTTGGGCTGGAGAAAAGATCATTTCGATTAGGGTGACGAAGAAAACGCTAGCTAGCATGATCGCGCCCGGCATAGCCTGATAATCGGTTGTCCAAAAGCTCGACAGGCAGGGGTCGTTCAGTGAGCCAAAAGCGGTAGGAAGTAGATGGACGAAGGCAGTCGCGACTAAGACACCGGTGCCGAAATGCTTCGCGCCGAAAAGGAAGGCAGGTGGGATGCGCAGCCGCGGGAACTTGAGGACAAGCATTGGGAAGGCACATCCAGTGCCTGAAACGAAAAGAATGATGAAAAGGCCGGCGACATGCAGGCCCAGATCGTAGTTGGGCTGAGCTTTGCCATCTTCGCAGGTACTTCGCCTGGGAAGACGCTGGTTTGTCGGGCCTGGGAATTCGATGTTAGTGTTGACGCTTTGACGCCATTGGGGCTGTTCCATCTCACCTTTTGGTAAGAAAAACTTGGGCGTGGACAGATTTCCGGTAGCATAGGAGATCAGCATCGAAGTGCAGATTACCGATACCAGCCACTTTGTCCAGCTGAAGATAGTGGTGGTGAGGCCAGCTTGGTGCTCGCTCACGTGCGCGATTGTTCGGGTGCAAGGTCCTGCCAAAGAGTCAGCATCTCAGCCTCCATCGTTGAGTCATCACGAAGCTGTAACGAACCTTTTGGAGACCCTTTGACACCCTCGCCAGTGTGGCTTGGCTTTCTCTTCTCCATCTCTTGGCCATTGAATTCGTCGAGTTCACACCGCCGCAAATTCCGCGTGCCGCTGCGCAGCCGATCTGCTTCTCCCAATTCTCTTGCGTTCGCGATGCCGTTCAGATCCTCGCAGGTCGTCAAATCAGCAGCGAAACGTGGCGGATTCTGGTTCCATCCGGGGTTCCAAAGCACGTCGTCATCGGTTCTGGAAGGGCAGTTCATTTTGGGACCTCGGTTGCCAAGCTCTCCTTTCCGGTCGTGGAGACGATCAAAGGTGCGTTCGGTGGTAGTGACAGCGGTCTAGTCCAGTGGAGCGCGAACGACGAGTTAATATGTTCGAAGGATGACGTGGAGATCACTGGTGATGGAAATAGTCGGGAACATATGACAATCCCAAAGAACTAGCAGTGGTCACTATGGTCGGTTAGCGGCTCTTCCGTCTTGTCGTTGCCCAAACAGACGCCAGCGCCGAGTGCCAAGACGACCGACCCCAGGCCCGCCACGCGACAACGGCCGAACGGGTGCTCCTTCTTTTGATGGGTCTTGTGTACATCAGCTGTCACTGTTTCAAACTTCATCTTTTGGAGATAATGTATAGCTATGTTTGTTCTCATCATTTTGTCAACAGCTGCGACCACTGCGACCGGATGTTCGGCTTACGCTTCGACACGTAATGATGCGCGGCCGGTGGAGATCACGAAGAAGATCGGATCCGATGTTGCCCGAAGTAGAGCGATGAGTACCCAGCCGTGCAGCCGATGCCGAAGCGGTAAAGTCTGGGGTAGTCTGGGCCATGTAGTACTCTCAATGCTGACTACAATATGCGAAATTATCTCTCGTTTGGATAAAACATGCTGGCGTTGCTTTCAACCTTGGAAGCAAGACCTTGGAAGAGACGAGATCCATATTGTGATCTCTCGAAAGGGGAATTTTCTTCAGTGGGCGAGTGAGCACGCGACCTGCGATCAGCCTAAGCCACGTCTATTCAAAGTCTGAGTAGGTGGTCCAAGACGTGTAATGTATGATATATGCAATTCTTTAAACGATTTTTAACGCGTGTTGAAGCGTTTTCTCATCTCTGTGGTGTCTATGGGTATCTCTCTTCACTGTGCTGTGGTCGTTTCCAACACTTCCAGCGCACCGCCAACCAGGTGCAAGCTTCCAGTCACCAGCACCATGACTTCTGCATCGGCCCCGGCTTCCTTGGCATAGTCTTGCGCCACCTTTCGTGCGGTTACGACTGCCTCTTCGATTGTGCGCAGCACATGCACTTCTGCAGTGCTGTCTATGTCAGACCATGTGTTCGCGAGCGCCTTCTGAACTGCCAGCGTGTCTACGTCCTGCTGATTGGTGTTTATCGAAACGAGGTCAGGCTTGTACCCCTCGCTGAATGTTTGGTTGGTCGTAAAGATGACATGAGTGAAAGGAGACTGTGATCCCGAAGTGATGCCGCTCTGTAGAACTGTATACAAGGCTTTGGCCAGCGCATTCGCGTCTCGTGTCTGTTGGTTGAAGATCAACATCCGAGGGACCTTGAATTGAGAGGTGGCAGTGGAAGTCGCCAGTGTTATCTGCTCCGCGAACCATTTGCCAGTGACCTCTATGCTTTCCATAGTGTGGGCTCCGTCGATGTGCCATGCGACGTTGGTTTCGCGTCTGATCTCGCATCTACCAGCCCATCGCACTTGTTCCAGACCGCGAATGAACTCAGAGGGGAGCTCAATATGCGGAACAATGGTTGGGTCGGGTACAGAAGTGTGCCCAAGTGCTCGCAGATGCGCCGCTGCGGCAGCTATCGCCACGGACGCGTTGATCTTCTGGAAGGCTGCACCTAGCCCAAGCTTGATCTCGTTGTTCGCTAAAGCTGGATGCACATCAATAGTGTGTAGCTTCGCGCCCTTCGCGGCTGCCCGCTCTTCCAAGACTGTCATAGCTTCCTCCTTTTGGCGCACTGTAAATGCGGTACTGCCTTCCTTAAAGATCCCGGCTTTATGCCAGGCTATTCCTGGAAGCGTAGAACCAAGCATCGCTGTATGGTCTATTCCTAGCGTTGTGACGGCTGTGACGGTGGGTTTCGTGAGGATGTTTGTACTGTCGAACTCGCCGCCAATTCCACATTCGATGACAGCCGAGTCCACACCCTCCTTCAGGTATGCGTGTAGCGCCATGAGCGTCAGATAGCGGAAGTATACTGGCTTTGTAGGGACCTCTGCTCGCGCATTCTCTGCCTTAGCCGCTGCTTCCAGCTTGTCCCACACCTCGAAGAAGTATTTCGCGAACTTCTCCTCTGATATCGGTTCATTATCGATCTGTATGCGCTCGCGTACGAATCGTAGATGTGGGGAGGTATAGAGACCGATTTTTGAGGGTGGGGTCTGCGCGTCGCCGGGGGTGGTGTATTGTGATAGGATAGACGAGATGAAAGCACTCGTAGAGCCTTTGCCTTTCGTACCGGCGATGTGTATAGGTTTCAACCGGTCGAACTCTGAGGGCTGACAGCTTCGTCAGTCGCAGTCTTCGGGTGGGGTCAGTGGGAGCCGCACACCTCATATCCAGCTTTGCGACACCATTCGATCATCTCGGGTATCGCTTGTTGGTTCATACCCCGACCAGACTTGCGAATCGCATCCACTATGGAGAAGTTGGACTGAAGCGTGTTCAGCGCCGCAACCGCAGCCTGTGACTATCAGCTCAACCCACATGCGCACTGCTGCTGACCTACCGCGTAGTCGCGCCTCTCCATTTTGGCAGCGTTGTGGTAAAGACGAGCGATTGGTAAACCGCGCAAGAAGCACGTGCGTGTCCGGGCTATGAACATGAGGGCATCTCGAGTGATGCTTGGGAGGCTGTCTGACACTTTTGTTCGTGAGAATACCGCCGATAGCCGATGACGCATCAGCTCGGACCCTCGTTCTGAGATGCCTCAATGGGGCCTGCGATCCCCTGCATATCTCTCTATACCTTCTTTCACTACCAATTGGTCAAGGTTGTCTGCTCAAAGACTGGAATGGATGCCACAAATTCAGACCCGTCACTTGCGCTAGTTTACGACTTTGTCGTGCTGCATGCCGGGCAGTTCTTGACGCGTCGAAACGCCACTTGTCGAGCAGTGAACGAAACATAGCTTTCCAATTGTATGCTTTTGCTCAGAGTCGCTGCCTTAGTTTCTGGACTTGATATGCCTTCTGATTCGCAACAGGTGAACACAGTGAAACGCGTCTTGGAAAGCGTGGTTGTACTGTTGACATTAAAGTATGTGGTAGCGTGCATCAATCGACCTATTGTAAAATCAGGAAACGATCCTATTGTTCATCTCAAAGTTACTTCCGAGCACGCTCCACTGGATGCGATGTGATTGTCCGGTTGAAACACAATACCAGGGTTCAGCAAGAGCGATCCGGACACCGGAAGCAGTCTAGCTCCGGTGGTCAAAGCTCTCTCACTCGATCCATCCGTGGATCCTCGCCGACAGCCAATCCATTGTTTCGTCCACAGTCAGCGCCTTTTATCAAACACTGCGCTTCTTCTTTCTCCTTCTCTTCTCCCCATTATCGCGCGGCACGCGAAAACTCATTGATTGACTTCACTACTCTCGTGGCGCATCCGAACACGTTCGCAGCTTCCCAGATTACGCGCCCCTGTCCGTGTCGCGTCGCCCTCACCAACGTCGCTCACCTCCCCTATCATAACCACACGCGCAGCCATGTCGGACTACTCTAAGATGAAGAACGACGAGCTGTCGGCGCTCCTCAAGGAGCGCAAGCTACCTCACACCGGCAAGAAGGCAGAGATGGTCGAGCGCCTGCAAAAAGACGACGAGAAGTCTGGCGACAAGCCTGCCGCTGGCGCTGAAGATGAGATTGACTGGGACGACGAAGCTGATGATGCCGTTGCTGCACCAGCTGCTACCACCACAGCGACAGAAGAGACCGTCATTCCTAACGCAGAGATCGTCGCAAACGCTGGAGGCGAAGGCCAGCCACCGAACCCGCAAGCCGTACCCAACCAAGTCGCCGACATCGACCCTGCGCAAACCGACGACCTGACCATCGATCCGCCCGCGGAAGGCGCCGCCGAAGCCAGCACAGAGCCCAAGCCAGAAGAGAAGAAGGAGCCCACTCCTGATTACACACGGGGTCTTGCTGCCACCAACCTCGACGAAGAGATTGAGAAGCGCAAGAAGCGCGCGTTGAAGTTTGGTACTAAGTTCGAGGACGATGAGGGTCTCAAGAAGCTGGAGCGCGCTAAGAAGTTCGGAGAGGTCGGTCCTCCCAAGGGTCTCGATGAGGCTCTCCCAGAGCGCCGCGAGAAGCGCCAACGAGAGGCAGGTGGCGACGAAGCTGGTAGCAACAAGCGCCGTGAGGGGCGCCGCGATGGCGGACGAGACGGAGGTCGTACTGGCGCTCGTGGAGGACGGAGAGACAACCGCCCTCGTAGCAGGGACAACCGCCCACGCGAGAACACACGCGAGAACAGGACTGGCGGTGGTCCTGGCGGAAGCTGGATGAGCGAGAAGGATAGGGCCGCTGCCGAGGCCAGGAAGGCCAAGTTCGCAAAGCCAACGGCTTGAGCTTGAAGATATGACATCGATTGTTTTCTGGATTTAACTTCCGAGTGGCCGACGAGCGACCTCGAAGACGGACCTTCGATACGGCGCCTAGACTCGGACTCGGTGGAAGAGCTCGGACAGCACCGGCGCACTCCTTGTATAACATGTTTTGCGGGCTACATTCTACCAATTTGCCGGACCATCTGCGATTGTCGCTTTTTCAGACACATCATGGATACATCAATTCAAAGCTCATTAATCTTCACCGCCGCCTCACCGTCTTCGCGATCCACTCTTTGCATATACCGCTCCTTGGACTTACGTGGCGAGTCTTTAGCATATCTGTCTGCTGCCAGAATCATGAAGTCGCCAGCAGATCTTGTCTACATGGCGCAGCTCCTGCCTTCCCGATAGCACAGCTGGCTCAGTGGTCGATGTCGCATGGAAGCCGAGAACTGGTTACCACATATGACGGGTGTTTTGGACAGCTTCGCCCACACACCTGATCGCAAATCTATGTTCGCAGCACGCCAAACACCTGAACGCTCGCGTTTCGCGTTCGCTGACAGCCACCCACGCATCTGCGGTCCAAGGGCATCTAGACTCACTTGTCCAGTGAACATGCATTGCAGTCCCAGAAGAACCGCATATATAGATCAAGTGATTGTCAAGC